TCTCGCTGATCCGGTGAGAGGGACAGAGAGAGAGCGTCGCTCTCGCTGACCCGTGAGAGGGAGAGGGAGAGAGCGTCGCTCTCGCTGCCCTGGTGAGAGGGATAGAGAGAGAGTGTCGCTCTCACTGATCTGGTGAGAGGGACAGAGAGAGTGTCGCTCTCGCTGACCCGGTGAGAGAGACAGAGAGAGAGCGTCGCTCTTGCTGCCCCGGTGAGAGGGAGAGAGAGAGAGCGTCGCTCGCACTGACCCGGTGAGAGGGAGAGAGACAGCGTCGCTCTCGCTGACCCGGTGAGAGAGACAGAGAGAGAGCGTCGCTCTCGCTGATCCGGTGAGAGGGACAGAGAGAGAGCGTCGCTCTCGCTGACCCGGTGAGAGGGAGAGAGAGAGAGCGTCGCTCTCGCTGCCCTGGTGAGAGGGATAGAGAGAGAGTGTCGCTCTCACTGATCTGGTGAGAGGGACAGAGAGAGCGTCGCTCTCGCTGACCCGGTGAGAGAGACAGAGAGAGAGCATCGCTCTCGCTGACCCGGTGAGAGGGAGAGAGCGTCGCTCTCGCTGCCCTGGTGAGAGGGATAGAGAGAGAGTGTCGCTCTCACTGATCTGGTGAGAGGGACAGAGAGAGAGCGTCACTCTCGCTGACCCGGTGAGAGGGACAGAGAGAGAGCGTCGCTCTCACTGCCCCGGTGAGAGGGAGAGAGAGAGAGCGTTGCTCGCACTGACCCGGTGAGAGGGAGAGAGAGAGAGCGTCGCTCTCGCTGACCCGGTGAGAGGGACAGAGAGAGAGCGTCGCTCTCGCTGACCCGGTGAGAGGGACAGAGAGAGAACTTCGCTCTTGCTGCCCCGGTGAGAGGCACAGAGAGACAGCGTCGCTCGCACTGACCCGGTGAGAGGGAGAGAGAGCGTCGCTCTCACTGCCCTGGTGAGAGGGACAGAGAGAGAGCATCACTCTCGCTGCCCTGGTGAGAGGGAGAGAGAGAGAGCGTCACTCTCACTGCTCCGGTGAGAGGGGCAGCGCCGTTTCTTGCCGCGGTGGTCACGCCCAGGCGCCCGCACCCAACGGGGATCGACGGTTTCAGGGCGGAATAAAAAGAAAAGCGAGCAACTCTCTCTCTCTCGCGGGAAAGCTGTAAATATTGACCGGTCTTCTCCGCAGCGGGGTGAAACTCGCCGGGTCCTGAATGATAACGGAGTTCTTGACAGGCCACGTGGCAGGGCGAGCTTTGCCCGTGAACCCAAATCTCCACGTGCAACACCAACACCACCGCTACCACCATCACAATCATCATCGCAAAGTTCACCGTCGTCGGCCATGATCAATCCACTGCTGTATAAACGCCTCCACCCCAAGCAGTCGCCATCTCCCCGCGGTGCCGCGATGCGACAGCGCCTGCGTTGCGAGCCTATTTCATCGCTCCATCTCCGGAGCGGACGCGGGGCCCTCGACTCTCCCGACGCGTTTCCATTCCTTCGGCTGCCACTCCGCCGCTATCATTCTCGACAGCGGGTCATCGTGCGCCCCCACCCCGGCCGTCACGTGTCCGGGCCCGAGCCCACGAGCTAGTCTTCAGAGTTTCAACGACGTCCTTCACCCGCAACATATTTCTAATCTCCAACCCGCGTGCCCGCCTCTCTGAATGTACACCGGAGCATGCACACCGGAGATATTTCATCCGAGGCATTGATAACGTCGTATAAAATTGCAGCAATGCCCTGCGCAATGACCAGAAACTGATACGCCAATTCTCATCACTCTCTCGTTAAGGATTCTACGCTCATCAGACAGAATAATGCACGCAGGCTGAAAACAAATAGGCATAATTAACGGGAGGCGATTTTATAGATGGCACAAGCATGGTGATGTCACGTGACGCGCAAGGCATGATGGGGGGGGACCGATTAGCGTTGCCGCCTCTCCGGATTGACCACAAACAGTGTGGGAATTGGAATCTGTGTTCGGGTGGCAAGAATTGACTTGTGACGAGGTCTGGTGACGGAATTCTGCTTGCAACTTTTCTCACCGGACACTGCGTGGTTTTGAGAATAGGCCACATCGTGGCAACTGAGAAAATATTCGTGGGTTCGGTCTTACAGCGGAGAAGGTGGCGGTGATCCCGCGGTCACCACCGTACCATCGTCAACCTCTGCACTGAGCCAGAGCAAAGAAGCACGGCCTAACCCGCCACTCCAACAACCCCACACGGCGTTGAGAGAGGCCCTCATCCAGCAGTGGAGTGACAATAGGGCGATGAGTGTACGTGGGGACAGCAGGAGCCCCCCGCCCCTCCGCCGCCCTGAGCCACACATCCGCCGCGTGCGTGAGAGAGAATGTCCGCCGAGGTCGGAGGTCGCGGCTGACCCGGCGCGCGCCCGGGGGAAGTTCTAGATCGTCGCGCTCATCTCCGTTTTACGCTTCGTGGCTCATTCACCCCCGCGGCGTCTGGCACGCGATCCTCGCTGGGAAGAGTTGAGTCGAGTTATTTTTTTTTTTAAATCAGACATTAAGAGCGCTGGCTTGCGCCTATCCGCCGTCAGTTCCCCGCGATAAAATCGGAAGTAAAAATGCGAACACAAGCGACGCCGTGGCTCTTCCTTGGAATTTGTTGTGAAGCCACGACGACGATCGATGGCGTCGGTAAAGGCGCAGACTTGCAACTGCTCAGCGCACGCCACTGTCTACAGAAGGGCCCTCCGCTAGAGGGCGCTCCATAAAGCCTCTCGAAATGTACTCACCGACACGTTACTTTCAGCGGGTATTTTATTATCCTTCGTCAAGATCTTTGGATTTCGACCGTTTTTTTTTTTTGCCGGGAGGGAAGGCACAGCCCTGCGTGTGCCTTGCACACACCACTGCTGGTGGAAACCGACCTCCTCTCGAGAGGCAGCTCTAGAAAGTATCCCTCGAGGGTATTTTGGCCCGGGAGCTCCTGTCTCTTCTGAGACATCTCACAAGAGAAAGGAGTACCCACACTAAATCCCAGCACTCACGGACCTGCCGATCGATGAACCGCGGGCCTGCACCCACTGGGCGGACGGGTGCTGCGGACGACGCGATTGAAGAAATGTCCCATTGTTTCGTGAAGTTGAAAAACAACTATTTACTTACATCGTCTTTGGTTCTTTCGGTAAAGTCACCACGTAGAATGAGAATAAAATAATAAATTGATAAAACAAAATAACACAATAATATTCTCACGACGTTTCGGCCACAACACAAGCGGCCTTCATCACCGAAAGAACCAAAGAAGATGAATCCTTGCAGTCACGAAAGCTTTAAATCGAAATTTACTTACATCGCTTAGCTTCATCAAACGTTTGGGGGCGACTGCGATCGTGAAGGCTTTCAACCCCGGCACGAGGTTTATACTCGTGCAAAAAAGTGGTCGTCAGCAGCAGCCTTGTTTTTCACGGAGGCCACGTGGTGGGAAAGCAAAGTGTGGGTTTCAAGCGCTGGAAGGAACGATGGCCAAGCCTACTAAGTGCCGACGGAGGGGCAGGTCAAGCGGGGAGGGCGCGCTCGGGACATGGAGAGACGAAATCGGCTCGCGTTGCAGGCGCTCCGGACTGTTGCATCGCGGGGCCCTGTGAGAGACTATCTTTACGAGACGATTTGTTTTTATTTTACCAGGTGTAAGCGCCCCACTGGGCTGTGTAGCTCTTTTTCAGAAGCGACCTGGCCAACACAAATGATAGCTCAGGCAAAGTGGCTTATCATCACGTGGAAATGTGTAGCAGCCGAATACTTTAGACGCATGTTTCTAAACGTGGAGGGAAAAAAAAAATCCCGAGTACCCTGATAAAAATGTACGCGAACACGGGAAGAGAACATGCAGACACAAAAAATAAACAGCAGCAGGCGCCAGGGTCGGGATCGAACCCACGGCCTCCTGCATACCAGGCGAGGGAGTTAACATCTCGCCACTACGGTGCCCGAGATGGTGACGGCTTGATGATAATAATAATGATGATGGTGCGATATGTGCAATGTTTAAGCCCACCAAAAACCATTACAAACGCAAAGGGTGAAGCATACACGAAGGGGAACATATAAAGTAGATTCCACGCTTGTCAACAACTTTGCTCGAGATATAAATCCCCTCCCCCCACCATGATAGGAACAATTCAAACAAGAATAAGCTTCAAGCCTATATTGGGCCAATTCTGTCATTGCACGTGCACAAATAAATTCACGTAATATATACTAATTGCGCCGACATCCGGGGTCACTGTTAAAATAAAATCTAATAAGTGTGAATTTGCACGCTTTTAATAGCCCATTTGCAAAATGTTGCACCCGTTCTGGTGTATATTTGCGCGTGCGGTGGTGTGCGTGCACGTGATTGACTTGGACACGTAACATTTTTCATCAGTATTGTTTCCTTTGCTCGTGTATGAAAAACAGCGGGGTTCTAACCACCCGCCCCACCCACCACAGCCCAGTTTAACGCGTCCACCAATTAATTGACCTGTGCGGCACCTGGGACCCCGATTCACGTGTCGTCGCTGGCAAATATTCCCCCAGCCCCCCCCGTCCCCGCCCCCCCCCCCCCCCCCCCGTTTCATCCGAATTTTTGGCAAAAAGTGCGCCGGTGAGACCCGCCGCATTGGCAAAGCCAACGCAGCCCCCCCTGGACCTTTTGTGCCGGCGGGGAGGAACGCAGAGCGGGTGCGGCGATCGAAACTGCGTAGGCGATGCAGCCGCGCCGAGGGCCCTCGGAGGTGCCGAAGGAACCCCTCGGGTGCCACGCTCCTCGCAGAAGGGGTGCAACTTGAATAAGAGAATCCCTGACGGTTCGTTGGGCGACGCTACAACCAGGGCCCCGCGCAAAGCCCAACTATGCCACCGCCGAGTCGGCAAAGATTGTTGGTGAGTTAGCGGGCGGACGAGCGAACGGGTGGGCAGGTGGGTGGGTGGACGAGTGAGTGAGCGGGCGGGCGGGCGGGCGGGCGAGCGAGCGAGCGGGCGGGCGGGTGAGCAAACAGGGTGGGTGGTGGATGCTACTCACTGGGCGACGTCGGGGAGGGCGTGCCTCCGTCGCTGCTCGTGCTGATGGGCTTCGTGTCGGTCACGGACATGGGCAGAGGCACGGGCCTCGGCATCGGCGGTGGAGGGGGCGGCAGCATGGACGTCGGGAAGAGTGCGGACGTCACCTTGGCTTGGCCCCCACCGCCAGGCTAAAGTTCGGGGGGGGGGGGGGCAGGGGGGGCCAGGGGGGGGGGGATGGGAAGGGAGAGAGGGGCGATCGATGGATAGAGGCAGATCAGAATTATTTTTTCAGAATCAGAATATTTATTTATACTGTTGGGATCCGATGAGCTATGAAGCTCTTTTTCACCGATGCGCCCTTCGGGACACGGGGTAAGGATGTCACAACAAACAGTACAAAAAGACGACATAGCAGTGCAGAGTACGAGAAAGGCCAACAAATCACCCAAACAGATACAAGTAAAACCTTCACCATCCTACCAGGCAAAGCCCATTTATGGCTTTATTTTGGTGATTTCGAAAAGTTTTTTGGTTTGGCCATGTTTGTTTGTTGTAGTACGGAGTTAGACGGATGGCCTTAATCTAAGTTGTCATGTGGTTGTTGTTATTGTTTGACTTGCATCCCACTGGGATTTTTGCACACAGCATTGGTGTATGGTGCTTTTTCAGGAATATTTTGCTGTTTTTTCCTGGATTGTCTGTTTGCACAGTCACATAGTCCCTTTAAGATGTTTTCTTGTTCGTGTTTTTGTTTTTTGTTTGTTGCGGTTGCACCCGATTCAAGAGCCTAATGGCTTACAGGGCTATACCAACATAAATGAAATGAAAAAAATGAAATGAAATGAGGTATACTTTTTTTATATATAAGCAACCTGGCCACTAATGATAGCTCAACAAAGTGGCTTATCGCGTGGAAATTTACAGCAGCAAAATGAGATAGATGGAGATGGACAGGCAAGCAGCGGCTTGACAAGCCGACAGGCAGAAGGACAAATGGGTGAGGTGGATGAAAGGGTGGACGGACAGACGGACAAGGAAGCTGGGTACGGTTGGCAGATAGCCGGAGAGGCAGACGCACGCAAGGCGCGCGCAGAAAAGGGACGCAGGTTTACACGGACCGGTTGACTTGAGAATGCACACGTGCATAATCAATGCTGACTCTGTAGCGGATAAGTCATTCTCTAAACCAGGAGGTATGACCTGATTATGATTGCTTGTGTTGCAGTCGAAACGTCGTGAGAATTTTATTGTTTTATATTTTTATTATTTTATTGTTTCCCTTCTACGTGACTTTACCGAAAGAACCAAGAATATGAATCCCTGCAGTCACGAAAGCTTTAAATCAAAATTTAAATCAAAAATTAAAATCCACAACGCTGTTGCCACTTTTGAGCGGCAAAACCCCAGCGCATGTCACGGAAATCTGAATATCTCGCAATTCTGATATAACCACACGACGTTGAATATAAGCAAACATGGCCTTACTCCCAAGGGGTGTTTCTGTACCCAGCTTCTCCTGTGCAGATTTAGGTGGGGAGCAGGGAGGGGGCTAACCGGATATTTGTTCAGAGCTCCAAAAACTCCAGAGGGGCCCATGATAAAAAAAAAACATGTTATATAAAGCGAACTAGTACAATTTTTTTTATTTAAAGCGTTCGTGACTGCAGGGATTCATATTCTTGGTTCTTTCGGTAAAGTCACATAACAATAATATTTATGTTATTTTATTGCTTCCCTTCTACGTGACTTTACCGAAAGAACCAAGAATACGAACTAGTACTGTTTATTCCTATTATCAATTAAATGGGAGAAATATAAACACCACTACAATTATTCGTTGATGGTTTATTCGATTGCCTCAATGCCATCCTCGAGTTGTCTCGGGCCAGCGGCAAATGTTCTCCTGCCCCCGCGCTTCCGATTTTCTTTCGCACCGTACGTAGCCAGCCATGCTAATCGGAAGCAACGGGGGGAAGGACAACAAACTCCGTGTCTCTGCTGGAAATATATCACTGCTTCAGCAGCAGTCCTGCGACCGCTCTTCCTTCCGATATTCGGAAAGCCGCTCATGCTACGCACTGTCAAATCGTCTAAGATTTGAAAACTCGTTTCTTCCGAACTGCTTGCTGTGCGTTTAGTTTTCCGTCACTCCCCCGTACCTCCGCCGAGCGCGGCTGGCCACGTACGGTGCGAAAGAAATTCAACATACATACGTAACTGCTAACCGGAAGCGCGGGGGCAGGAGAATATTTGCCGCTGGCCGGAGACAACTCGAGGATGGAATGGAGACAATCGGAAAAACCAGCAACGAATAATCGTCGCAGTGTTTATATTTCTCCCATTGAATTGACAATAGGAATGAACAGGACTAGTTCTCTTTATATGTTTTTTTTTTTATCATGGGCCCCCCTTTGGAGTTTTTTTAAGCTCTGAACAAACATCCGGAAGTCACGGACGTACACGTACGCACGTACACGTACGTACACAAACACACGTACACATACGTATGTGTAGGTGCGTTGTGGGCTCTGCGATTTCGCACTCCCCCTCCCCCCGCTGAGCGTGCGAAAGGTGGGTGGGGGGTGGGGGGGGGCGTCACGCGCACGTCCGATGCAAAGACAGCAACGGGGAGTGGGCAGCACTTACTTTAATATGAAAGTCACGTGGAGGGAATGCTCGCGCGTGCGTCGGGCATGTGAATTGGAGATTGAATCTTTTGCAGACGTGGTCGAAACTCAATTACCATTCACATGCGCGGCCAAATAATCAATGGATCGCGAAGCGGAGGTCACACGTGGCAAAAAAAAAAAAACGCCCCGCGCCTGAGGCATTGTTTATTAGTGTACTCGATAAAGTGAAGGCTGTTAATCCTGAATGCCTCACCGCTTTTTGCTATTGTTTTGGTCGTCGCTTTGTTAATTGTAAATTAACTTAAGCATTGACACTTCCCCCTACCCCCCCCCCCCCCCCCCCCGCGTGTACATTAGAGAATTACATTTTATCGGCCTAGTTAATAATAAAAAATGCAGCCTATCACGATTGCACTTGTTTTATTGACATCAATCCCATTTGTCTATGCCGCAGGAGTGGTGGGATGGCATTTGCAAAACATTTGCAGTTCGGGGCCAGGCATAAGCATTTGAAATCTAAAGTTACGTATATATTGGTCTCTTTTGTTTTATCAATTCGTTCCAACTTCTGCCATCTGCACCATGCCACGGTATAAAGAATCCGTTAGGGAATCTCGCAGAGCAGTGCCCCCCCCCCCCCCGTGTATCAGAGAACGGCCGTGAAAGATATTTTTTCACAGAACTTCTCCCAAAAAGTCCTTCAAGTCATCGCTTTGTCCTCTGCGCACAGAGGGGGTGCAGTTTCCCACACACTCCCCTACGAGACTGTTCATCACGTGACAGCCAATATTCTTTGGAATTCTCAGAGCTGGCAATTATGCAATTTAAGTTGTAAAACGAATGTTTGTGTGAAATAATTTACTAACCAGCCTGAGACCATGTCATCAGACCTCTCTATTTTAGGCAGAATGTCTCTCTCATCTCATTAGTTCTCTATCTCATGCCGTTATCTCTTGCGTCACCTCACTGCGACTTTATAGAAGGGTCCCCCCAGGGCCCCCCCCCCCCCATCCAAAATTATTTCTACTCCAATGGGGCCTAGCACCAGCACCAGCACCGCTGACACCACCAGGCAACGCTGCTGACACTCAACGGAGGGTGGTGGCGATGGCGGCATTGGTGGTGGTGGCGGCGGTGGTGCAGGGTGGGTGGAGAGGTGCGGGGTAGGGTGGGTATGACGTTGCCTCGCAGTGAAACGTGAAGCCCTGCGCGTGTTTCAGTGTGTAAGCCGACACGTGCGAGCTTTGGCGATGAGGGCTGCTGAACCGCCGCTGCTGCCGGCGGCCGGCAGTGGTGGTGGAGGAGGAGGAGGGTGAGCGAGTGACCGAGATCAATTGAAACCACTTGAGCCGATAGCCGAGGAGCCGAGCTTTGAGGGGGGGGGGGAGCGGGCGCTTGACAAGGTCAAGCAGTTGAGCCAGGATAATGGAATCAATTCATACGAGATGAAGTTACTGCACTTTAGTTAATAAGATTAATAAAGTTCGCCTGGAGTACTTTGCGCACGAAGGAGAGAGAATAAGAAGAAGAAGAGGAAGAAGGAAATCCCACCCCAAGGTGATTTCGCGCTCAGGTCAGTGCGGGGGGAGGGGGGGCCTCATTGTTCCGATTTACAGTACCAAAACAATCTCACACAACTCCTGCAAGATATTGTTTTCCACCGACAACCAATGCATCTCTGAGTTTGTAGTTCTCGATGCACGCGTCTAAACCCTCTTTGGGCTCGCATGCTGCATCGAACTCGACCAAACCAACGACCCGGGTGACGGTGGTCCACCCCGCCTGTGACCGCGGCTAACCGTCACGGTGAAGCAACTCAGATTCATGTTGCTCCCCGAGCTTCGCGGACTCGCAAAGCGTCGCCGCCCCCAGGGTGTATGGTTGGCGCAGGACTTCCCAGGCATTGTGCGTAAAATCATTTCATTTTCTTATTTTACCAGGTAAGGCCCACGGAGCTACAGAGCCATTTTCAGAAGCGAACTGGCTGGCCACAAATGGTAGCCCAAACAAAGTGGCTTAATCACATACTGGCGTCAGGGTCAGGATCGAACCCACGACCTCCTGTGTACCAGGACGAGGTCGTCAACATCTTGCCACCAGTTCTCCGTCAGCCTTGCAAGCGCTCAGCCAGCCATGTGCAGCATTGTGCCCAGTGTGGGAGCGTGGGTGGCATGAGCCCTGGTGCAAGGAGATGAATGCCACTGCCCCCCCCACCCCCACCTCCGTCCCGCCCAGTGCTAGGCCCCCTACGAACATTGGGCCCCTGAGCATTTATCTATTTATTTATTTATTATTTGCCACCTTGCCCAAAATTGCATTCGGTCTTGATAAATCTGCAGGAATTTAATGTATGAGCGCAATTTGAACTTCCACGATTTTATTTATATTTGCATGTGTTTCTTTTTACTTCTTTGTGACTTGCTGAACTTTTTTTTATCTCGCTCTTGCACATTTTATTTATTTATTTATTGTTGTTGTTGTTAAAACTAGCTGACCCGGCCCTACCGGAGATCTGTGGAGAAGAGCTTCACAGCTCGGTGGATTCCCCCAGCCCTGAACCCACGGTCGACATTCCAAACTCCTACGGCGGGGTGCGTAGTCCATCCGTAGGGACAATCACAGTGGGCTTTCCCCACAAAGTGGTACTCATTTTATGGACCCCCGGTGGGATGATGGGCTGGGGGTGTCAACCACACCCCCCGAACCAGGATTAGAACTGGCAACCTTCCGATCGCGAGCTCCTCGCTCGACCACTGAGTCACCCAGGTGGACGTATTATTGCCGATCTTCGCCTCGGTATTCGTTTTCTGGCCGTTTTTTTTCTTCCTCCTCCGTTTTATGCCTTAGGGCCTTGTACGCAACAACTGTGATCAAAACTAAAACATGTACACATTTCAAATAGTCAACACGTGAATACACTCTGTGTGCACACACGCACACAAATAACATACACGGACCTCTCTAGCCTTATATTCTGTTGGGGTAAGTTCTGTTAGAAGTGCACCGTCAAAGCCGGTACAGCGCATGAGAGAGTGGTATGGCCAGGAGCACATCTGATTGCCTCTGTCTTTCTCATTCTGATGTTTGCGCAACGCACCAGGTAGTCATTTCAGACTGAGTCAACCTAGGGGAGACCCAGCTCAGGGTCAGTTAGCTTTTGCATCTGATGTTGTTCAATCTCGAGAATCCAACCCAGGTCACTTGGGTTAAGTTCGTAGACCACGGCACCACCACTCACCACACACAGATTAACGCACCACACACACACACACACAGGGGGGAGTGGTGGTGCAGTGGTCAGCGCACTGTGCCATACACCAAGTCAGCTGGATTTATACCCAGCCTCAGCTGACATCATTGGCGAACGATGTTGTAACCGGTCCTGCCCTGGGACTCCACCTTCACCAATCCGCACTGACCGGCGTGGCGAAGTATGGACGTAGAAGTGGATGGACAAAGGGCCGCAAATTATGACCGCCACAGTAATTATTATAATTGTATTTAGCAACACATTCTCGTAGCCGCGGGCATATTTTTGCGGGCCGATGTTAAATATGCCTCGCGTAAAATTTGAGCAACACTATTAGCAGGTTGGAAATAATACACCACGACTGCGGTAACAAAATCAATACATCAGAGCAGAGGTTTTTTTCCCTTCCCCCTTCTTTGCTCTGAGGAGGTCGGGGCGGCAGGAAACGGGAGGGAGTGACACGGAGGGCGGTGGTGTAGTTTTGGTCCGGGGTTTTGTTTTTATACCTATCGGCGGGAATCGGCACGGCCAGGGCCGCCCCTTGGTTCCGGCGAAAAAGAGTGCAAGGCTTTACCGTCGCTGGGCACGGCGCGAGTGGACGGGCGAGCGAGCGGGTGGGTCATCAGGCGAGCGGGTGGGTGAGCAGGTGGGTGGGTGAGCGAGCGAGCGGACGGACGAGCGAGCGAGCGGGTGGGTGGGTGAGTGGGCGGGCGAGTGGGCGGGTGAGTGGACAGGCAGGCGGGCGGGCAAGCGGGTGGGTGGGTGGGCGGGTGGGCGTATGAACCTTGTTTACTAGAGCGGTGCAGAAAACACTTTCGGAGGCGTTGTGGTACTGGATACCATTTATTTTGACCCAGTTTCCTGGAAAATTTCCCCCTATGGAAAATGATATGTGTGTGTTGCGGTTAGTGTGCTGCACTACAAATCCGGCGATGCCGAGTGCAATTCCCACTCACGGCCAACATCAGTGATGATCATCTGAACCCCGTCCTGGGCCTCCACTAGGTCGACTCAGCTTCAAATGAGTACCGAGTGTGGTGTGTAAACATCGCCACTCGGGAGACAAAGACGGCCGGGCCTGTTGTTGGCCACCCACCACCTCGTGTGCCGTGCCGGCTTCGCAGTCGATGGCTCCCTAGCAGCATTTGCCCCAACAGTCTGTCAAGCCAATAGGCGTGATCTTTGTTGTTCGTTGGATATACATATACACGTGTTATATATAAGATACTAAGATTCTCCGCATAACCTTAACAGACTGTCGGGGCAAGTGCTGTTTGCGACTAACACCTACGAAGGCCACAAGGCACACTACTGGGTTAGTGGCAAGCACTACGCCCAGCCGCCTTTGTCTCCCTAGTGGTGATGTTTACACACCGCGCCGGGTGCTCACTTGCATATGCACATATACCTTGGTTGGTTGGTGCCCTGTCCTATGAACGTGAGCAAGTGAGCACGAGCAAACGGTTGAGAGCAGGCGAGCGATCGAGCGAGCGGGTGAGTTCGGTGAGCGAGCGAGCGGACGAGTGGGCCACCGGGCGAGCGATCGAGGGAGTGTGCAAGCGGGCCATCGGTCGATGAGCAGGCGAGCGATCGAGCAAGCGAGTGAGCGGGTGAGCGAGGGATCGGTGGGTCGTGTCGATGAGCGGGCGAGATTGTCGGTACTCACGTTGAGGAAGCCCACGTGGCTGCCCTGCTGCCCCTCGGGGCACACGAGCTGCACGAAGTCCTTGAGGGGGTCGTGGGGCGGTGGGTGCGGCGGGTGGTAGCGGATCGCCGTGTGGGCGTGCGCCGAGAAGGGGTACGGCGGGTTCTGAATGATGGGGGAGCTTGGGAAGTGAAGCGCTGAGGACGCGGGGTGGGCGCCGCCTGTCCAGGTGCCACATGCACAAGAACATCACCATCATCATCACCATCATCATCACCATCATCATCATCGCCATCATCATCACCGTCACCATCATCGCCATCATCATCAACATCACCATCATCGTCACCATCATCATCACCATCATCACCATCATCATCATCACCATCATCATCATCATCGCCATCATCACCATCATCATCATCACCATCATCATCACCATCATCATCACCATCATCATCACCATCATCATCATCACCATCATCATCACCATCATCATCACCATCATCATCACCATCATCATCACCATCATCACCATCATCATCACCATCATCATCACCATCATCGTCACCATCATCGCCATCATCATCACCATCATCGTCACCATCATCATCACCATCATCATCACCATCATCACCATCGTCATCACCATCATCATCATCAACACCATCACCATCATCATCGCCATCATCATCACCATCATCATCACCATCATCATCACCATCATCATCACCATCAGCATCGCCATCATCATCATCACCATCAGCATCGCCATCATCACCATCACCGTCACCATCATCGCCATCATCAACATCATCATCACCATCATCGTCACCATCATCATTACCATCATCATCATCACCATCATCACCATCATCACCATCATCGTCACCATCATCACCATCATCATCATCACCATCATCATCACCATCACCGTCACCATCATCACCATCATCGTCACCATCATCACCGTCACCATCATCACCGTCATCATCATCATCATCACCATCATCACCATCATAATCATCACCATCATCATCATCGTCACCATTATCATCATCATCATCACCATCATCATCACCATCACCGTCACCATCATCGCCATCATCATCACCATCATCGTCACCATCATCATTACCATCATCACCATCATCACCATCATCGTCACCATCAACACCATCATCATCACCATCACCGTCACCATCATCACCATCACCGTCACCATCATCACCATCAACATCATCATCATCATCACCATCATCACCATCACCATCATCACCATCATCATCATCACCATCATCATCGTCACCATTATCACCATCATCATCACCATCATCACCATCATCATCACCATCATCATCACCATCATTATCATCATCATCACCATCGTCATCATCATCACCATCGTCATCATCGTCACCATCATCATCGTCACCATCATCATCGTCACCATCATCATCGTCACCATCATCATCACCATCATCACCATCATCGTCACCATTATCGTCGTCAGCAGTAGCCGTATCAGTGGTATCGGCATTATCATCAATATCAGCCTAATTATTATCATTAACAGCAGTGTCATCGTCAACAGCATCATGATGATGACCATCATCATCGTATTGCTGTAGAGGTTTTCACGGCTCAATGAGCGAGATGTGATCTTAAAAGCTGCTCTTTCTGCGTAGCCGCGGCGAGCGCTGCTCCTTCCTCCTTTGCGACCCACGCTGGGGGCATCTTCTACTGCCTGGGGACGCCTCCTCTGCCCGAGGATCTTTGTCTACGCGTATCTGCACGTGCGCGCATGAGTGTGGATGGACATGTGCAAGATGTGTGCGTGCGTGACGCACCCCTGATGTGTCCTGGTGGTACTGAGCTTGGGGTGTGCGTGCAGTTTGCTGAAGACCCCCCCCCCCCATCCTGGCATGAGCTCCGTGGCGACGTCACTGCCACTTGGTGGCGAACGGCGGTTGTTGTTGGTGGGAGGAGGGAGCGGTGGCACAGCGGTTACGCCACTTTGCTTTGAGCCTGGCGACCGAAGTCCTATTCCCAACCACGGCTAACACTGGTTGCCAAATAGAACCTAGCCTGGACCTCCTCTAAGTTGGCTTAGCCATGAATGAGAGAACCTGATGCTGTTATAAAACATTGGCATTTAGAGAGACAGACGGGCAGACACCACCACCCCCTTTGTGTCTACGTGCGTACACTGAACTTCTTCACCACCGTACGTAGCCAACCGCGCTAACCGAAGGTGCGGGGGAAAGACAACGAGCTAAACACAAAGAGCAGTTCGAAAGAAATTAGTTTTCAATCTAGATGATTTAAAAGTGCATGAGCTCCAGAGCTCCAGCGGCTTCTTAATATCGGAAGGAAGAGCATTCCAGACGGCCGCAGAAGCGCATGTGAAGGCGAGCGATGCGGTGACGGCTTTGTTCGATGGCCAGCCAAAAGGTTAACCTTGATCGTTTCGTGTGCGTCTGTGCAGGCCTTCATAGGTGCTCGCTGACAAACACTTATTAACAGTCTATGCGACTAAAAGGGGGAATCTTGATCCTGGCAACAGCCCATTGAAAATGCATTGCCTTTTATAATGGATTTGGGTGAGGAAGTCATGCAGGGATAGTTAATATTTAGTTTCTGGAACCCGTCCAATGCTGGATTTGGATTATCTTGCACACCAGTGGCGGTTCATAGCTCCAGGTGGAGGAGGCAACAGAGTCTGCCTCGGGTTTTTCAGTCTCAGGTGACAGCACGTGAAAGGTGGATTCATCCAACAGCACTTTCTCGCATAGAGACACAAAGACACAAAGACTCGTAGACTCACAGAGACCGGTGGACTCACGTAGAGACCCATAGACTCACACAGAGACCCTTAGACTCACACAGAGACCCAGAGCTTCACACAGAGGCCTATAGACTCACACAGATACCCATAGGATAACACATAGACCCATACACTCACACAAAAACCCATAAATTCACACAGAGATCCGGAGCTTCACACAGAGACCCACAGACTCACACAGATGGGCTCACATAGAGAGCCTCTGAGAAACTGGAATGCGCTGGCAGTGGCTTTCCCATCCACCCAGGAGCTGGGTGCTGGCAGCCCACGCGGCTTCCCAGGGGAACCGGCCTGGTGGAGCTCAGCGCTGGTGCAGCAGCGGTAGCGGCATCGTCACCATCACCACCACCGCCATTGTGGCCCAATTGTCAATGGGTCCTACCTGCAGCGCGCCTGACCACCCGGGAGTGGAAAACCCCTGAATGTGCAGCGCCGAGCACGCTGACTGCGTGGAGGGAGCAAGCTGGCCAGGTGGCACCGCAGTTGGGGCGGCTTGACTCAAAATTGCAAAACGACGATTTGCTTAGCAACACTTAGAACCGCAATGATAAACTGACGCGAGCACAGGTACCCTTGACAAATGTAAAGATCTCCCCGTATAGCCTTGAACAGACCATGGGCAAGTGCTGCTAGCGAGAACCTACTAAGGCCAGCACCACGCGCGGCCGCCTTTGTCTCCCTTGTGGCGATGTTTACACACACCACACCAGGTACTAATTTGATGCTGATTCGACCTAGGCGAGGCCCAGGACTCGTTCAGATAATCGTCACTGGGTGTTGGCCGTGAGGCGGGAATCGAACTCGGCTCGACGGATTCGTAGCGCAGCGTAGCGCTAACCGCTCCACGACACACACTTCCCCCACGCACGCCCGCCCACGCACGCCCACGCACGCACGCACGCGAGCAACTACTCACCGGACTCCACGTCATTGTGCCAGCCGCTCGACTGGCTGCTGCTCGCAGGCGACCGGTTGTAGAAGCCTTCCTCGGGGCTGTCCTCGTCCAGGGACGTGCTCGACTTGTGTCTCTTGCTCCTGCGCGCACGCGTCCGGGAGGAGCGTCCGCGTCACCGCCTGCGGCGGCGCGAACGCGGGGGCCCGCGGCCGGCCTCGCACCCTCAAGGAGGCCGCGTCTAGTCGTGGAGCGGCGCTCGCGTTTTACGCCGGCGCATCCCGTGCTGCGGCGGAACGCCGCGGAGCCCGGTTGCTCATCTACTCGTTCTCCTTCCTTATCAAGAGCTTCGGTGAGAACGCCTTCACCCCTCCCCCCCCACGCCCCCCACTGACGGTATCCCCAGGCCAGAGCGTTCGCCCCTTTCCCCGAACCGTTCCACTTAAGACTCCTCTCCTCCCGATCCCGCTCTGGCACCTCCACGTGTCTGTTTCTTTGCCTCCACTCGACGGCATCTCCTTCAATGCCCCGCTCATCTGTTGCCTTATCAGCTGCCCACCGCCCCCTCCCCTCCCGTCCCTCGACTCCCACCTCAATCGCTTGTAGAATGAGTGCTGTTCCACCCGATGCCAATTGCAGCTCTGTTCACCTCCGAGGGTCTATCGGCCTTTATCTATTGGGACACTTCCCATCCAGATAGCCCAACTGAGCTGGGTGCTACAGCCGTTGTCCCCATCCAACGGCGACGAATTGAGAATTTGGCGAGGACCGTGTTCATCCCTAGCTCCGACAGCAAAATTATCAAACGGAATAATAATATTCTTTCGGTGGAAAACCCACCACCGTCGCTGTTGCTACCCACCACCTACATTAACATTAGCTGCCCCGTCCATGCTGCTGACACACTTGGGCTACGCCCATCTCTAAACCTTTATTAACAGTTTGCCTTTAGAAGCCAACCCCCTTTTCCTGATGACGACCGCTTGTGTTGCGATCGAAACGTCGTAGTTTTGGGTTATTTTCTTTGACCCTATCTACGTGACTTTACCGAAACACACAAAAAGAATACGAATTCCTGCAGTCACGAAAGCTTTAAGTCAGGAACAATAATAGCAAATCCATAACGATGCAAAAATCAGCGAAAAACACAGAAAGAGAACGACATTTTGTAGGCGACCATGAGCTTTGGCGAAAAAAATGCTCTGTTCTGTCAGTGTGGAAGATATATTACGCACGCATCTGGAACGTACATCGTTGTGTCCCACGTGTAACAAGGCTTGTGCCTTGAACTTGGTCAACCGAGTAGTGCAGGGGACAGAATTGGGCAGAAGAGAGAATTGGACAGAACACAGTGGCACTTTGATTTTTTTTCTTTCCCCACCACCACCACCGCCGCTCCCCCCCCCCACCCCACCCAGGTCTCGGGTGATTATCGCGTGCAGGTGGACTAATGGACGACTGGATGGAGAGATGACGCGCGTCGGCGAGGCACCCTGCCTGGGAGCTCCCTCCTCCTCCTGCCCATATCTGTCTCTCTCTCTCTCTGTCTGCACATAACAAATAAGTAAACATGCTTAGATTTTTGTTAGCACATCCCATCCGCCGCACGGCCTTTTGGGAGCATTTTTTTCCTTATTATTTTGTTTGCGGCAGCAGCAGCAGCATTGGTTTATTACGAACAAACTCTGGACCGGCTTTGACATTCAGTGTCGGGTCATCCTCGTAGCAGCGGCTTTTGGCTAGCTATCAAACAAGGACGGTCAACCGCATCGCTTTCAGGTGCGCTTCTGCGGCCGCCTGGAACGCTCTTTCTTTCCAATATTACGGAAGCCACAAGAGGCATGCGCTACTAAATCTACATTTTTAAAACGAATTTATTTAGAACGGCTTTTATGTGTTTCGTTTGTTGTCCTTCCCCCGCACCTCCGATTAGCACGGTTGGATACGTACGGCGCGAAAGAAGTTCAACGTACACACGTACAGTGTCTCATCTTGCTTGCTGGAACTAACAGTTCTCCTGGCAAGATACACGGACTGTATGCGCACGCCTGATGGAGAGAGCGATGGTGATGCTGATGAAGTCACTGCCATCACATGCCACTTTATTAATCCACATGCACGCCTCACTTGAGACTGATAGACCCCAAGGCGGAGGTTTTGTAGCCACCTCAAACCTCATGCCAATTATTTTCCAAATTGAAAGCCTCGCCGAGTCTCAAGACTCCTTTCTCAGGAGGGTACTGCATTAAGGTTGCTTTGGCCAATTTGACGAATGAGTGTTTAGATTTGATGTGGGAGAAAAGCGGAGCACCCAGAGAGCGAATGGCACTCAACACCCTGCACAGATCGATGCAATCCAGAATCAGAATACTGTATTCATGCTGGCGGAATCCGATGAGCTGTAAAGCTCTATTTCACAGACGGCCAGTTGGGGGCACGGGGTCAGAACGTCACAACAACAAGCAATACAAAAACACATGGGAGCAATGCACGGACGGACTCAATTCAGCCAGTGGACCAAAATCAATCCGCCGACCAAATTTCTGCGGCATCCCTACAACCGGCCCCGTAGCGTTGGTGGGGCGGGAGGGGGGCTGCTTGAGGGGGCTGCTGGAGGGGGGCTGCTGGAGGGGGTTGCCCCCCCCCCCCCCCCTTCAAAAAGACTTACGGCCAAACAATGTCGCCACAAACAATGTCGGGCGCCCCCGGCCTTTCCGCATCTAAAACTGGCGGGGGGGGGGGGGCGAGGGCCTTGGGCAGAATGACGACGGACGCATCACGTGGGTCGCTCCAGCAGCCTCAACCTTGTTGCCACGAGGTGACGCTGAATGGATGGGGGGGGTTGGCGGGGGGGGGGGGGGGGTGTTAAAGGAGGTGGGAGGAGTAGCGGATGGAGGGTGAGGAAGCTGAAGATGATGGAGGAGGAGCAGGGGTAGGAAGATGTGGGAGGGGGGAGGGAGCAGTGGGGAGAAAGTGGAAGCAGCAGTTGGGGAGAAGGGCAAGAAGGAGGGATAGGGAGGAAGGGGATGACAATGAGGGGGAGGGATGTAGGGCGAGGAGGGAGGGGAGCGGGTAGAGGACGAGGTGGAGCAGGAGGATGAGGATGACGGGGTGGCCCACTCACCCGGCAGAAGAAGTGCTGGGCAGAGACCTCCTCATGGCGGCACCGGGGCTCATGCTGTAGTAGGACTGGCTCTCCATTTCCACGGGGAAATTGGGACCGGTTCCGCTCGCGATCGGCGCTGTCGGGGCAAACATCGTGAGAGCGCTCGCCTCGCGGTCGGTGCGGCCGAGAGGGCCCGACGCCCCCCTCCCCCACGCGCAGTCGGCGGTGGAGGAAGGGGGGGGGGGGCCGTGAGTTCCAATACGGGTCAGGGAGTGGATTCCGGGATTTATATACAACGGAGAGTACAATCATCCGACCTCGCTGGGGACCGGGGAACAGGCGGTGGACGCGAAAAGATCGGATGTGAGGACATCGACGATTTGTTGTGCCAGCAACATTTGGCAATTTTACTTTCAACATTTCATCATAAATTAAATTCGTTTGGTGATACTTTTCACGACCCAAGGGTGTGTCTGGTAATCAACAGCTATTAAATAGCGTAACTATTCACATGCCGATTTAAATAACTGCAATGTAATTGTCATCAGGCCTCACGGTGTTCAGTGCAGTGTCCCACTCCTATCATCCACTCCATTTCTCTGGCCTCTCTATTCATGAGCTATGAAGAAGAGCCATTGTCCTAAACGTTCACGAGTTTATATATATGTGTGTTTTCCTTTGCAGGCCAAACACACAAGTGTTACTGATGAATGCGTCATCGAGCTCGTTGTTATTGTTAATTGTGCGCCACTGCCAACACACAGCAGCAGCAGCAGCAACATTACCAAATCATTTATAGAGCACCACCCAAGGCTCATGTGAGACAGCAGATGTCCCGGCCTGGCTTATGCAAGTTAATTATGTTCAGAGATTACAACCAAAGCCCAGTTTTTACTCGTACATTTTTAAAACGTTGCACGTATCTCATAGCCAGTTGCATTTGTTCTCGGATCTACGTCGTTTTTTTTTCGTCTCTTCCCCCCTCCAAATGTCTCGCTGGCAAGCGAGCGATGTTTTACTGTTGTTGCTATCCAAGTGCCCTCCTAACCTGGCATTAAATAAAGGATTCGAATGAATAAACAAGCGTGCGTCGCGGACGCAAATGCTAAATCGGTGGTGTCGCGGTGATTTGTTGGCGGCGGTGGGCGGGCGGAGTCGGCGGTCTGGAACGATGCAGGCGACGGACATGAGAGCGGCGACGGGAATGCCGGCCCCCGCAGGATTGGAGTCGACAGCCAGGTGAACAGTTCACAGTCGTTCGAGTGCGGCGGTGAGATGAGGCCGTGGCATCACCACGCCATGAGGAAGCATGTACACAGCAGTGGCTAGACCACGGCTGACGATGACGACGACGATTATGACGACGATTAAACACGGGCACGAACGGCAAAGAAGTACAGAAACACTAAACGCGGACTTGCTCGCACGCAAGCCACGAGAGGTGCCGAGTTGAGACTCGCCGTTCCACCAACAAAACTGCGGACGGACGGGCGGGCGGACGACGCGAGTCGTGAAAAGGATGCGGGCGGCGTTGTCGTACTCACTTCTCGACACCCGCACCAGCTCTGTGACGCTGAAGACTCCGGAAGTTACAAAGATATCCTGGAAGCTGAGGTGTCCTGCAGGCGACAGGCGACGACACAGGCTTCAAACAATGACTCGCTCGCGAGCACGCGGCGGTGCCTCGCCAGCGGCGCGGCCTCGTTCGGCAACGCGTCGCTGCGGCGGTCGATTGGGGCAGGGGCGCGGGGGGGGGGGCGGGGGTTGGAGTGGTCAATGCTGAGCGTGGGCCCTGGCAGCAAGCGACGGCCGGTGCCGCATTTGTACCGCGACACCTTGGGCCGCCCTGTGGATGTGGATTCCGTGGCGACCGGAGGGGGCGAGATGTTAACTCCCTCGCCTGATATGCAGGAGGTGGTGGGTTCCATCCCGACCCTGACGCCTGTTTGCTGTATATTTGGAGTTTGCGTGTCTCTCTCCCTGTGGTTGCAAGGATTTGTCTCCAGGACCTCCGTTTTTTTTATCTCCACATTTATAAACGTGCGTTTAGTGTTTGGCTGCTATAAATTTCCACGCGATAACGCCAACTTCGTTGAGCTATCTATCAATTGTGGCCAGGTCACTTCTGAAAAAGAGCTACAGAGCTCAGCGAGCCTTACCGGGTTAAAAAAACCCTAAAATTAGTTTTTCGTCAGTGTCGAGACACCCTTGGGTCGGCTGTGGATGTGAATTCCACGGTCACTGGAGACGAACAAATCGGTCACGCTGCATATGGAGCCATTCCCGATGTCAGCGCTAACGCTGAGGAGTTGTCCTGGTTTCCCCAGGAACGTCGCCCTCATTCCTTAAAAGCAGCTGTCCCGGGAACAATCTGTAAGGCGTCAGGGTCGGGGTCAAACCCACGACCTCCTGTTTACGAAGTGAGGTATTTAACATCTCGCCACCGTGGTGCCCCCGACTGTTATCCACCAGGCTGTATCCAACCACCGCACTGCAGGTCAAAACACTTCTCATTTCGCTTCTTCCCTTCGGACTCCTCCCACTTTGGAATTCCCTCTCATTGTCTCTTTTTCCAAGTTCTGAGCATAACCTTGCTCAATTCAAGAAACATATGCACTCTTTATCGGTTACTACTTTAAGAGTGCTGTTTGTTGCTGGCCTGCTGGGAAATTTGGGCCTTTGAGTCTGTGTACAGCAACCGTGATATACTGGGTGGCCCAAAAGTCAGGGTATATAGGGTTACTTCATTGTTGTGTCTGTAGACCTCTGTGTGTGTCCGTGGGTCTCTGTGCGTGCATGTGGGTCTCTCTGCATGTCCGTGGGTCTTTGTGGATGTCTGTGGGTCTCTCTGCAAGTCCGTGGGTCTTTGTGGATGTCTGTGGGTCTCTCTGCAAGTCCGTGGGTCTTTGTGGATGTCTGTGGGTCTCTCTGCAAGTCCGTGGGTCTTTGTGGATGTCTGTGGGTCTCTCTGCAAGTCCGTGGGTCTTTGTGGATGTCTGTGGGTCTCTCTGCAAGTCCGTGGGTCTTTGTGGATGTCTGTGGGTCTCTCTGCAAGTCCGTGGGTCTTTGTGGATGTCTGTGTGGGTCTCGCAGTCACGGAGGTTCAAATTTCCATGTTCCGCGGGGCGTACCGCCAGCCCCATTCCCACCACGTGTCCACGATGCGCCGGGAGTTTGCGCCGTGGAGGTGGCGGCCGTCGCCCAACGGGCACGACGTCTCGCGCGGGTGACGTCTCGCGCGGTTGACGACTCGCGTAGAGGCCACGTGCCGACTCCAAAAAAGAAAAAAGCGGCGTTTGCAAAAAACAAGCCAGAGAGCGAGTTCGGGGAGGGGTGGGGGGTGCTCGGAGCCAGACTTGGCCATGAGAGTTATGTCGTTCTTATGTAATGGGTGCTGGAGTGAGTAAAAAAAAAAAGTGATTTTTGCTGTACACAGCTATCGTCGGTCATGACCTCCAGAGTTTTGGAGGAATGCTAATTAATAATACACGCTACCAACGGTAAACGATTGCGGAGAGTAATGGGCGCGCAACGCTCCGCGTTTACACGGGGCTCCAAATGAGCGTTGGGGTTTTTTGAGCGAGGGATTTTGGTTCACCAACCGCAGACTGAGGCACTAGGCCTACTCTCTCTTCCGCCAACAACAAAAACAACAACAACAACCGCCGCCGCCACTACCGTCATCATTATCACGACCGCCACAACAACCACAACTGCAATCACCGTCTTCCCTTACCACCACAGTCGTGACCACCACTACTACCGCCACATATACCACCATCATCATGACCACTCACCCACGACCACGACCTTCCCAACGACCCACCGCCACAACCACCACCACCAGCAGCACTACTGCCACCTCCACTAGAACAACAACCGCTACCGCCACATCTAATTTCACACCACCATGATCACCGCCAATACCACCATCATCACCATTTGCAACACTGCCACCATAATGATCAGTTATCACCATTGCCATATCCACCACACACCACCAGCCACTACTGCCACCACAATCATCACCACAACCTCCACCATGGTGACCTCCACCACAATCCACTAACCAGCAACTACACCACAAAGACAAAGATCCCCCATAAAGCCTTAACAGACTGTTGGGACAAGTGCTGTTAGTGAGCACCTACGAAGGCAGGCACATAAGATGAGGGGGTCGGTGGCCAGCACCACGCCTGAACGCCTTTGTCTCCCCAGTGACGATGTTTACACATCGTACCAGGATTTGAGGCCAAGTCGACCTACAGGAGGCCCAGGAGCGATTCAAATAATCGTCAATGGTGTTGGTGGTCGTGAGCGGGAGTCGAACTTGGATCGCTGGGTTTGTAGTGCAGCGCGCTAAGCATTGCACTATGGTTCCCCACCTACACCACCCACCAACATCACCATCACAAGCACCGCCACCATCACAAGAACCACCACCGTCACCGCCACACTCTTGCTCATCTCGCGCGGGCTCTTTTACCGTTTTCTGATTTGATCTCAGCTTCGCTGGCAGACATGTTCTCGTGACTCGGACTTCCCGTCTGGCCTCCTTCTGCCGATAGATGACGGGGAAAGACAGACGCGCACGCACGCACGGACAGAGGGGGGGAAACAAGGGGGGATATAAAACACACGCAGATTACACACCCTGCATTTAGAACACAAACCACGCACCTTTTTTTGGCTTTTGATAACAATTCGACACATTGCTCAAGCGAGGATAAATCTGATGAGGTTTGTGGAATGCCACGAGGCAGATAATCCGTTGGCATCTCGCAGAACAGTGCAAGCCTTCATGTTAGACAGCGGTTCAAGGAAGTGGATATCACAGAGCTACCTGCCAGATGCCTTCAAGGGACATGTCATTAAGACAGGAGAGGGCAGCACTTTCCCACCCACTCTGCCACTGGAAGCAACGTTGTTGAGTGACAATCGAACAAACATATTTCTTGTATTTTAATTTAAGTCGGATTTAGAATGTTTGTATAATTCCATATATTGCTGCACTTTGTGTGTGTGTGTGTGGTTTTGTGAGACTGGTTCTTGCCACAATAATATAGACAACATTCCACGACTGACCAACAATCGTCAATTGGGGTGAGCACAAAAAAATGTTAATTTAAAATACTTTGATAAAAAAATGTTTGTATTTGCTTCGTAAAATTTCAGTCAAACATATACGTTCTACAAATACACAAATATCCTGTAAGTCAATTATTTGGCCTGGGCCCTAATCTTCGACCCTGGAGAGTGGAAGTGTAGTTTCAGACCCTGACCCGGGTCAAAATTGTGAATGTTAATCTCATGCGTTGAAAGAAAAATAAAGAAAATGAAAAAAAAATCGTAAAGTAAAGAAGTAAGGCTGTAGGCCAAGGGGGTTTTTTTTCATACGGGGCTTGTTACGCCTTGCTAAAATATACAGTGTAAACAGGATTTTTTTTTTGAGTAAGCAGCCGCCCAGGTCTCGGCGGAAAATATGAGCATTTAGCGGGACTCAATAAAGTCAGTGTGCTCACGACGAACAAGCGGCTACTTTTAGGTTTCTCTGAACGCACGTGGACACACGTGTGTGTACACGCGAGCACGCACAAAGACGCACACATGCGCCGGGAGCACAGGTGCGGATTATTTTTTCGCAGAGGCATTGGGTTTAGGAAAAAAAAAATCACTCCGAGGAAAAAATAATAATTCAAAAGCACCGGTTCGATTAATGACTTCCTGTATAGAAAGGTGCAGATGGAGGTGTGGTGCGGCCCTTTCTACAACTGCCTAAATCAATCCCTCTGCTGTGTGCCAAAGGAATGCCTCCGATTTATTAATTTGATAAGATTTTAATGTGGCGTGGATGGCGAGAGTGGGTAGGAATGGCGATTAATTACCGCGCTAGTACGCGCGCCCACCAATCCAAGTCATGCCCGTTAACGCTGCAAAGCGCTAACGAGTAAAGTCTTGGCCTAAACGAAACGAGCAGCTAACGAGTCACAACGCACATTTTATTTGTTCAGGTGGCGCGAAAACGTTTTAAGTACATTTTCGTCGGCAAATGTAATTTCTGTTTGTCTGATGTGCGCGTTGTTATTCTCAGTAAAGACTTTGTTTTGGCTGCACCACACATAGTGATGTATATATTGCTGCAAAAAAAAACCTAAATAAAGCAAGACTAATAATCATCATGAGAATAGTTTTTTTTATTAATTCATCATCGTTGTTTATTATTTATACCGCACCTCCCACGCATTGCATCTCGAGATGCCAGAGCAAAGGGGGTCCAAGTAAGCACTCCGTCGTGGAGTTGTATCCGTGGACCAAATACAATATTCACAAACAATGCCAGCATCGACAACGTGCACAACAAACAAGATGAAACAAAAACCTGAGCTGTCACAAACAATCCACCCAGCGTAGACGCTGGCTGGATTGTTCCATCGCATGATCGCGGCAGACGGCGATGGCCGTGGCCTTCATCCAGCAGCGGATCATGGCCAATGCCGATGACCAGCACGAAAAAACAAGGCTTTAGGAATGTCGACGGCCGGGGCTGTCCAAACGCCGGCTACCTCGGGGAGCGGTGTAGCGCGCACCGGCACTACCGCGCCCCGAGGCTCCGACCACGCTTGCAAGCGGCTCTCCGCCAATCAAGCGGGTGGTCGAGCCGCAAGCTTACGTAAGCCCCGGCAAAGGATTCCTCGGCTAAGTCAGCCCTCGATGACTCACGGCTAACCACGAGGCCGCCGCGGCTTTCGTGCGGTACACGGCGGTTTTGCCACTCCGCCCGGAGAGAGAGAGAGAGAGCTCCCGAAAGTATTTGTTTTCGCTTGCAGAGACGGCGCACGTCTCCAGATCGTGGGCAGAAGCTCCGGCAGGCCGAGAACCCCTCGCGCTGTCCGTCTCTAAAGACGCGTAAAAGCCTCCAGTCGACTTCTTTCGCACCGTGCGTAGCCAACCGTGCCGATCGGAGGTGGGGCGTCGGTTGGTGAAATGCGTGAATGAAAACTAATTTCTCGTGCAAAAGATCGTCACGGCCGGTTTGCCAGTCGACCCAAGTCCGTTATCTCGTGAGTCCGTCGAATCAGCAAGCCAGCCAAGTTTAGCAAAATAATAATTTCGTCAAAAAGTCGGTCAGAAGGGCAATCGGTCGGTCACCTCGTGAGATTGACAAAGAGGCAGCTGCGCGGCGTTTACTCGCGCAGCCTTCGGTCAGGAGTGAAGGTTCCTTTCTGGTTTGGCGTATTTTGGAGGGAGGTGGGACGCTTAACAAGCATCTATTTATTTTACTTTGTCGCGAAGAGTAAAATGTTACGAATGTCGCTGCTTGCGTGCGCGGCTTGAATCAAGTGGCCGCTTGCTATACAACGCGCGTAGAGACGCCGGGGGAAGATCGTCGCTGAGCGCCGTCGCACGTAGTGTCAGCGCTGCGTTCGCCGACGATGCAAAAGCCGCTCGCATCGGCTAAAGTTTGCGCGAGTGTAACATCGAGAAGCGTGACGAAAAAAAATATGTAGGGGGAGGAAACCCCCCCCCCCCCCCCCAAAAAGAAAAAAATTCACTACGGTCTTCATAATGAAAGTGAATTAATTACGTGTACTTTATGCACAGCTGTGCCGTATGAATGCCGCCCATTCACAGCACCGGTGAAATCCCGGGGCGGTATTGCGTTGTTACTTCACGTTAGGCGAAACGTTTTTCGCCCGAGCGCAAATTTATTATTTAAGTGCCGAGCGGCGCAGGGGCTTTGGGGAGCGGAGCGGTCATCGCCGAGAGAGAGAGGGGCGCGTGCGCATGGGCGGGCGGGCGCCGTTCAAGAAGTAAAAAAAAATGGAAAGATGACTTGCGGAGCGTGAAAACAGGAGGGGCTGGTATTTGCGCAGTCAATACATTTGCGGAATGAAAATAAATCCCCGATGTAGCCCTTCCATCCGAATCCAAACGTGTCCGTACAGTGCGTGAAATGTAAAAGTGCGACAACTCCGCCCGTAGAATCGGACACCCGTCGTGAGTGTCTTTTATTTTGGGTATTTGGCCCGTCACCTGGCCCCTCCCCAGCCACCTTTGTGTTTTTCCTTTCTTCAAAAGCTCCTGTTACTTTCTTAAGCCCTCGCAACGTTGCAGGTGAAGGGGCGTTGGCACTGAATTTGCGAGTTGCGTTTTGCGCTCACACGGAGAAGAGAACGATCGAAACGAGAGAGAAGGGTTGCGCCATTTAAAAACCGCGAGCAGAGTCACTTCGCAAATTGCACGAATTACAATAATAATAATAGGAATTAGGAAGAAAAAAAACCACTTCTTAACCTAGTAAAGAAATAAAAAAACACTTCGGCTTAAGCCCATCAGAGATTTATTTTTTTTTATTTAAAGAAAGAACGCACACTACCCGCAACAGAAAACACGTGCAACGCAAACACACAATCAAAACAACGTTTAACGCAAAGTGGTACTTTTTGCATTAGCATTACCACCGCCACTACCGCCAGACCCACCACTATTATTATCGTCATCATTACTGAATTCAATTACTTCGGGTCTTTTTTTTCTTCCTCTTTTTAATATCGGGGGCTCAGCCACTGTGGTCTACACAAAGACGGCGGCGTGAGCTTTTTTTTGAGAAAGTTTTAAAAGAGCCGCACCACAAGCGTCCACCGACGTTCTGCCAAAACCTCAAACCGTATTTAGAGCGAGGGCTCTGCCCTGGTAACCCACGCGGCTCTGCGCGCAGCCGCTCGTCCAAAGTCGCAACGCGCACGTCCGGTGCCGCTGCACGACGCTCGCCCCAACGCTAACGTCACACACCGGGGTCCCCCACACGGCCCGGGTGGCGGGGGCGAACGCCCGCCTCGCGGTGAAAACACCAGCTCCCGTTGCGTCTCTCGCGAAGTCCGACGTTTCGCTTCACGTGCCGGACGACCGGCAGTTTTTTCGCTCCCCCCCCCCCCCACCCGCCGCGCTCCCAGACGGGGTGGGAGGGGGGGTGGGGGAACGAAACGTCGAACGTCGTGCCAATTGATGCGTTGGCACAACCCCCGAGAATGCACCGGAGGGCTCGCGCAGCAGCAGCAGCAGCAGCACAACCGCCGTGGAGCCACGCGGTTGTGAAGGCCGCCGATGGCCGCCGCTAATCAAACGCCAGCTTGCACGGGCCGACGGCGCACGGACTTTCCAATGGCTTTTTTTCTTTCTCTCTCTCTCTCTCTTTCAGATTACAAATAAACGTGACGTGCGCTCATTTTATCCGCGAAATATTGCGACTGGCTGATTTTGCGTCTCCGTTCGTGTTCAACGGTTAACGCGAGACGAGTGAAATCTATTGTGTCGCCTGCCGGACCGCGACAACGACAAACAGAGAACGTGCCCAAAGCTGGAGCAACGTCGCGAAACGGCGTGTTAAGACATTTTTTTTTTTCCCTGGGAAACGTGGCAAATCAATTTTTTTTAATTCATTAAAAAAATCACATCCCAGGGACGAACATGTTCATGTAAATCTCTGCTTCCAGCTGCGAACTGCGAGATGGGAGGAGGGGGGAGTTTGCAGAATTCACGCCAAATATTGCAGAACTC